TAATTTGAGATTCCTCAATGTGCATGGTTAATCATTAGTGATTGGTCAGAATTTAAAAACATATTTCTTATTTCTCATTTATATCTAATTTGAGATTCCTCAATGTGCATGTTTAATCATTAGAGATTGGTCAGAATCTTAAAATATATTTCTTATTTCTCATTTATAAATAATTTGAGTTCCTTTAATGTGCATGCTTAAACATTAGTAATAGGTCAAAATCAATGTGCATGTTTTACTTCACTTTTCGCTATTGATTCTAAAGCTATAGGGTAAGAACAATCATATCAGAATACCCGGAATATCTTTAACCTTTTGCTTACTGCTGGTACAACATGTGAACCACATGTGATGGTACAACATGGTATAACGTAAGCGAAGGGTTAAGGTTGCTTACGCAAGAAAAATTCATGAATGTTTTGAATTGGACGTTGAAAAAAGATTAATGTGATACTGAAAAAAATTAAAATGTGCTGTTGGAACTTTATAAGTATCTTACGGTTTTACCTCAATACATTTTACTGTTTTCTATTTCAGAATGAAAAAATAAATCAAAACTAGCTTTAAAATCTTTTAGTACTTTTAACATCATTGCAGCATAACATCATTTCCAAAAGACATTGAAATAATAACATTTAACAAAATCTATCTAACAACAATTAAGTATAATAATTGGTATATTGAACACAGTATAGCTCTAATATCAGCTTCACATAGTTGCATTTGAACAATTTAGTTTCCATGAGAGGTGTAAAATTCGTTAATATATACACAAATATACCCATAAAGTTTTTATCCGAAGTTCCATAAAATAAATAATAATAATTGCAGTAATTTTAATAATAATAAACGACATATTAAATTATAATATAATTAAGAGAAAACATGATTTTTTCATACTATTTACTTAAAAAGAATAACTCATAAGTAGAATAACTCAGAAATATAAAATATAGATATAAAAAAAACTAAAATTTTATAAAAAATAAAGAAATGTTAGTTTCTGCAGTGCATACAATTCCAGATTAAATTACGGTGAAAAGTATCGCAATTTTTACTGAAATATTAATTTTTACCAGAACATATTGCAAACAAACAAAAACTCTGATATACCGTAATTTTTACAGTAATAATTACGGTAAAATCACCGAATTACTCTAATGGAATAAATATTACTGTAAAATGTACGGTATATTTAACGGTGAAAAGGGATTTTACGGATGATACATCCAAAGTGCTTTGTACCGTAATTTGATTCGGATTTTTTTACAGTGTAATTTTTAAAAATGAAACTAATAAGTTACAGTTAACAATATTTCTTATGCCATTCAAATTATAACATTTAAAGAAAAAACTAACGGTTAGCAATAAGTAGTATAGTTTTAAAAGTGAGTTGTACATAGTTATAATTGAACTCACAGTTTTCATGAAAAGTGTAAAACTCTGAAGTACATACACAAATATACCCCATCATGTTTATTCATAAAGTTCTATAAAGGGAAAAGTTAGCAATAATAAATCGTATATTAAAATATAATGTAACCATAGTGGGATTCATTTTATACACTTTACTGCAAAAATAGTACATACAATAGTTTAAAAATTTCAAATATAAAAAAAAGGTTCGTATATTATTTATATTAAGGGTCACATAGAAAAGCTGCTCAAACTTGCTCAAATCAAGCTCGAATGCTCAAATCTGAGCCCAGCACTGACTTGGGACCATTCGCTAAAAGAAGTGTTTGGTATCGAGCTAGACCATGAAACAATTTCACATACTTGCTTTCTACTTTCACCCAAATGGCTTATACAAAAACTTGTTTGGTTCCATTATTGAGTATGAAAAATTTAAAAAGCATCAAGTTCAGAAAATTGAATATTGATCTGTAAACAAGTAACCTCAATTACATACTTTATTTAAACTTTCTGCAGCAAAATTTGGCTTCACATCTTAGTGAACTTTTGCATTTATCTGACATTTTGAATTTCGAAAAAATCCTTTTGATTTAGGGCTTGTATTTAAGTCTTGTTTTGTCTGCCTAGCACCCCATATTGTGATTTAATTTTAAAAATAACGTTTGTTCTAACAAAAGAATGATGAAAAATTTTGTGTTTTATGAACTACAAAATATATGTTCCACCAATTTGCGCAATGGTCGCACAAAATGTATTTCCACCAATGGTCGCATGCCGTGGTTCAACTATGAAGATGGATTATCAAAATACACTGGTGAACAAAATTAAGAGATGGAAGACATTTTCTCAAATATCTCAAAAAATACTGAGTATAAATAAATGAAATTTGGTATGGATATAGCTTATTCCATGATAATAAAGTATGCAAAACAAAAATGAAAGTACCATTCACTGGCAAGGCCAATTGCCAATAAATCCAATGTAGTCTGAACTTAAGGATAAAAGATAACAATAAAAGTGAGGCTTGTACAGTGTGTGTTGCCTCTAGTGTTGTCTATGGTCACTACTGACAGACAGGCAGCATGCACAACGAGTATGCATGCTGTTAATAAGGGAGTTAAGGAGGACTTGTGGAAGACCCTCCCATTCTTCCACCAGAGCAATTTTTTATTCCAGAATGGTTCTGGGGGGAGGTTGGCGCATCGCAATAGCTCTCCCAAGATCATCCCAAGCATGTTCAATAGGATTCAAGTCAGGGGAATTAGCTGGCCAGTCCATTCCTTGAATATCGTCGCTTTCCGGATACTCATCAACCATGAGAGCCCTATGTGGTCGCGCATTGTCGTCCATAAAAATGAACTCAGGGCCAACAGCGCCCCTGAAAAGACGCTAACAGGGCTCTAGGATCTCCTGTCTGTACCTCTGGGCATTCACGGAACCATTGTCAAACACATGGAGCGGTGTGCGGGTATCTTGCATGATCCCTGCCCAAACCATGAGTCCTCCACCAGCATAATGGTCCCTTTCGATAATGGGATGGTATCGGGTTCCAGGTTCCCTCCATACCAATAACCGTCCTGAATCAGGTTGAGGACTGAATCTGGACTCATCGGTGAAGAGAGCATTAGCCCATTGAAGCTGTATTCAATTCTGATGTTGTCTTAATTTTGTCCTCCAGTGTATATCGGCAATGATATTGGCAGAAAACGTACTGTTGCCAAGCATCTCAAGGGATAAAGAGCTTGTCGTTCAATGGTGCTACCCAAGTTCAAATTCCAGTGTTGGCTGATCGACGCGAATTCTGCTCCCTTGTTGCACCGACCACAGTACTGACGTAAAATATCCTCAGTGGTAGACGGATCACGGGTAGACGGGACTGTGGGAGGTTTTCGTGTTGTTCCCCGCCATGTAACCGCAAATGCTTAGCTCCATCAGAAAGTCTTCCACAAAGGCTAGTTTGCCCTATTGCATGATCCAGGAGTTCCCATGTCTTCTGGATTGAGGTCAATATTATAAGACCACGGAGTTAAGCATCGATATCTATAAACTTAGAATTGGATCAGCTGTTCAATGCCGGTAATAAAATAAAATAAGAACATCGTACTTAACATGTGAATGAAGTATCTGATGAAGATAAAAATAATGTTAGTTCAAACGAAGCACTGATGAAAATTATTATTTTACAAGTGACAAGACATATGTTCCAGCAATTGGAGAATGATTACATGCCGTGGTTTAACTATGGTGATAGATTATTAAAATGTATCGGTAGTAACAATCCGATTACAGCCGATTAGTCGTCGAATCTTGTAATCGGTTTTTCTGACACGTTCAATTAAGGTCTGTATCGAAGCATAGAACATCAATCAACATATAAATCTCAAAAGTACACTGTTAGTAAAATGTGAGTTAAAATGGATGATTCTGAGCTACAGAATGGGAAAACATACATTATTCCACAAACATTAGGAAACCAAAAATGACTTTTAAGTTCTAGTAGAACTCTTGGCAAAATATTGCCATAGTTCTGTCTGCTTTATTATTTACATTTAAATAATATTTAAACAAAAAAAAATTATAGTCTTCATATAATTTTTTTAAAAATAAAAAATTTTTACGAAATTTTCCATAATAAGCTAGCTAACCAAAGAATTAAACCGGAGTTTCAGATTTTTTAAATTTTATGGACCACAGATTATAAGCATCGTTAAAATGCATATTTTTATGCTAGAATATGTATTAAATATTAAAAAATAGGCGTAAATACAAGATCTTTTCTGACGCAATAAATAAATAAATAAAAAATAAACTAAAATTCACTAAAAAAATTAACTAAAAATAAAAAAAATTAGAAAGCTTCTAGTGATATTCAAAATTAAAGCTGAAAGGCATATATACAAGGTGTTCCATTTAGTCTACTGTTAATATCTATCTATCTATCCAATCCATATATATATATATATATANTATATATATATATGCATATATCAAAAGAGAATTTAAAAAGTATACACATGTAGAGGTTCAATTAAATATTAAATATTTAAGTAAGGACGAAATAAAACTCTTTTCTCAATCTGAGAATTTACAAATAAGAAAAACGGGAATACAGAAGATGAAATCTAGTCTTCAAACTTCTCTCTACTTTTTCCTTCTTCTTTGTATCTGAAATTCGAAAAAAAAATCCGACAGAGAAGGGGTTAAGGTAGATCATCAGCATTACAGGATTTCCTCTACCAGCAGCAATAATGTTTAAGCATGAAGTATTATTCAGTCTACTTTCCGTTCAAAATAAAGAGCAAAATAATTTTTTTTGATTACCCATTGGCAAAATGCGTGTTGTTTTGGACTTGATGGCGTGCGCACCTTATTTGAACGTCATCACACTTTTCAACTGTGTTCAAGTGTATTAAACAGCGCGCATGCGTCGTCATTGCATGCGTTGCTATGGCCACCGCTGCTGTTTGATAATTTTTTTAGAATTCTTTTTTTCACTTTTAATTTTGTTATGCATTGGTGAGTTTATTTTTGAGATGTGGGACCAGAAAGATCCCATAAATACTTCTTGAGTTGTGAATAAAAGAGAATTTCATCATTGGAACGATATTTTTGTTTTTATAGTTTTAATTAAGAATCAGAAATTCTAACCTGAAGTTCAAACTAGATCGTTCAGGTGAATACCACAAATAAAGAGGGTAAAAAAAAAATTAGACAACAACCATCTCGCTAATGGGTAACCTGTGATCGCAAAGAGACGATCAAATTTCTTTTGCTACTTATTAAATTTTAATTTTGTTAAACTTATTTTTTTTATTAAGAAAAACTAAGGAATTTTTTTTTTACTCTATGTTATTTTCCAGTGACTTCGTTGAGACGCAATAGATTATTTTGATGAAAGTCAAGGTTGTCATAATAAATTCAAAGTTTCAGTATACTTTTCAGTTTATTTGGAACACCTTGCATATAGAAATCATTTTTTTTAATCAAATATTACAAATCAGATCTCCTTCCTCGAAATATATATTTCATCGCATTTACAAAATGAGATATCCCATTCCGAGACAAACGAACCAGATTTTTAAAAGAGAAAAACGAAACTTCTTTGGCACGAAAAACTATGAAGTTACCCATACGCTTAATTCCTAAGCTTCGCCAATCGGCCATATAGCCATAAAAAATACACGGGAAAAAATCTAATACCGATAAAAAGCCAAACCATCTGCAATCTTCCTCATAAAATCGCTGAAATTTTTCAAAACATTGGAAGGAAACTTGAAAATAAGTATTATCTTTGAAAAAGATATTCAAAAAAGTGAATATTAAAACCAAAATCGAAATTTTTACATAGTAAGAACTGAAAGCTGGTTTTTTAACACATTGTTTTACGTCCGAAACACTTTTTTCTTCGAGATCAACGCAGCCATCTGTTTTAGAAATTACAGAATGCCGAAATATTTCATCCACTGTATCTTCTTTCAGTGGTCCGTATTTAAGCAACACTTTGGATATCTGAAATGAAAAAGAAATTCCTGTAAACAACAATAGTGATTGTTAAATAAATAAGAAGAAGAAACTGAAGAGGTAAGATATTACCTGATAAAGAACTTCATTCGCTTCGGAAATACATAAAAAGGAAATAACAGTCGACATGTTTCAAGCTCTTCAAAACTAGGCTCGCATTTTCAAGACTTTGCCAGACGTGAGTGAGAAGAAAAAGTCTTTTGAAATATAAACGCAAAGTTGCCAACGAAAAAAGGAAAAATAAAGAAGAGAAATTAAATTCGAAAAACTCTCTCGGCTATTGTGGTTTTTCTTGTTTTGTTTCTCCTTTTTATTTTTCTATTTTTCGTTGGCAACTTAACGTTTTATATTTCAAATCATTTTTGTTTCTTCTCATTCGCGTCTGCAAGTCTTGAAAATGGGTGCCTAGCTTTGAAGAGCTTGAAACATGTCGACTGTTATTTCCTTTTTATCTATTTTGGAAGCGAACGAAGTCATTAATCAGGCAATAGTGAATATTGTTTCTCTGTCGCTGGTAAAAGTGCTGAACTAAAATTAATTTTTAGGTTTTAAGTAATATGCATATGTTACAGCTAAAGCACAAAAGCCGTTAATGTGCACCTAACTAATCTGCAAATTAACTTTAGAGTATCCATTAAGATTAGAGTCAGAAAAAGCTTAAAATAAAAAATACAAAACATCGACTTAAAACATTATTTTACAGCACTATACAAAGAAATCAGAAAGGCGGTAAACGATGAATCACATACAACCTTGCTAACATTTTGATCAATTTGGTAAAAATTGCAAGAGAGCATAATTATTACTTAAAGAAATGACAAGGAAACAGTTCAAGTACTTGAAAATAAAATTACCATTTTGAAATTTAAAAGTACAGTTTATTTCTGTAGCTGGCAAATTGTATAAGTATTATTTGGAGAATATTAACAAATTGTAAGCGTAATCTTTGTAACTAGTAAAAGACACTACAAAAGTACTTATTAAAGAACCCCCCCCCCTTTTTTTTTTATTAAACACTTGGATCCCAGATGTGATTGGTTGATACGAATTCTGCCCCCGGCTCGCCGACCGCAGTGCAAACGTAAAATATCCCCAGTTGCAGACGGATCATTGATTGGAATATCAGGTTAACCATGGGATGTTTTCATTGTTTTCCTCTTCATGTACCGCAAATGAATACTTTTTTGTTTCATCAAAAAAAAAAGTCTTCCACAAATCCTATTTTGTCCTAAGACTTGATCCAGGAGTTCCCTTGTTTTATTGATTGGATTTTAAATTACAAGGCTACAGAATTCAACATTGATAGTCGCAAACTCAGATTAGAGTCAGCCGTTCAACGTTGATTATAAAATAAAATACTTGGATGTTTTAAAATTAATAATTATTCTGATTTAAATCGAGAATAAACTTTGAATTTGAACTCGATAGGATGTCCTATAACTTTCTCATATTGTCGACATCGTAAAGATTGCATAAAGTAAGATAATTTTGTCTAATAATTTATAATATAAGTATAGTATTAGAAAAATACGAAAATGAATCAAAAGTTTTTAAATTACAAAAGTACCCCCGAGTAATGCTTACCATGAAAAAGAAGAGGACATAAAGAATTCAGAGAACTGATTCATGGCATGTTAGAGACGAGTTGGTGTTCTCTCAAAAGAAATTTTTTGTTGTTTAAAATGATAGATCGTGGTCAGTACCGATTAAAGAACATAAAAGAAGAAAAACATGGTCGCTGAGATTTTAAAACGGATAGTTTCTTGCACTTTTTCTTACAAAAAAAAAATTCGTATTTTTGCAAATAAAAACCATTTACTTTAAGCCACGGCTTGGAATTTTTTTAAAAATTATCTGTGAAATTATTGGATATTCTGTGCTTTAGAATAAGGAAGTTATGAATATGCATAAAGGTAAAAGAAGTTATAAATGTTTTAAATGTAGAAAAAAAAAGAAAATTCATCAAAAGAAAGAACATCGAACCAATTCTGTAATGAAAATTTTTTAATTGCTTGCTATTATACATTATTGTTACATTGCAATTACTTGTAACTTGAACATTTAATTTTTTTTGAACATTTAATTTATGCATTATTGTTACATTGCAATTACTTGTAACTTGAATGTTTATTTATTTTTTACACTTTTTAAAATTTATCTCCTCTTATATTTAGCTAACTAATTCGAAGTTGTTTGGTAAAATCTATTAAAACATAATATTATCAAAGTTTTTTCAGAAGCATTTAATAATTTTATGTACGAAATATATTTCCAAAAAAAAAAACTTAAGAGATTGACAATTTTTTTTTTCTGATCAGAGTGCAATAAAGTAAAAAAGTTCTTTGTCTTCATTCTTAAATAAACTGGTTTAAAATAATTTAGATCCATTCTTTCTATTATTAATCTCAATAGTAATTGATTTGTGTTTGTAAACGATTTTTCTCTTTTCAATTGAAGTATTAACATCAGAATTGTGCGAAGTTCTTTCCGTTTCTCCTTTACAAGTATTTCAAAGATATTAGTGAATAAAATTGGTTCAATGACCACACATTAACCAATTTTAAAGACAAAATTGGTTTAAGTGTGGTCATAAAGTTACACCCTGCATTAAAGAAGTGATACCTTAAATGTTTGCTCCCGGTATTCGACAAGCAAATCCTCAAGATGTTTGCAGCAATCTTTTATTTTATCTTCAAATGATTCCTTAAATAGTTCAGATTCACTTCTTCCATACATCATCCAGTATTTTTTTCTGTTTTCCATCACGGCCTGTGGGAAATTCAAGATTTTGTTTTTAAATTTCAATCATATAAAACTATTAAACCGTGAGTCGTAAATTAAGTATTTTCATCATTATTATTACCTATATCAATTTTGCATAAACGTATGTGTTAATATTTATTTACATGAAATTAAATATGGATTAAAGTTCATTCAATAATGACTATAATACTTTATAACCACATATATAAATGAAATCGGTTGAAAAGAAATTTTCTAAAGAACACTATTTGTTTATAAGCATACACTTTTTTAATTATAGTCGAAAATATAGATGCTAAAAATAGAAATCTTAAGAAATGTCAGATATTTATCATTTCATAATTTTAAATAATTTAAAAAGTACGATAATTCAAAAGCTTATAATTCAAAATTGTTTCAATGCGATGCAATATTGAACAAAAATTCATGAAATTTATGAATATTTCTTTTCTGGGTGGAATTATCTTAGAATTAAAAAAAACTTTATAATTGTGTACAAAACTTTTAAATTTATTTTTATAGTTTATAAATATTGGAAAACATTCAAAAAGTTAGTTCAAATTTTTAACCGTTGTCCTGATAAAACTATTTTGTTTGCCATGATACAATTCACATGCTATTGCTACTTCCCCCCTTGAACTTAGGTATAAGAAATCCTAATTCATGCCAAAAAAAGTTATGATTTTTAAAAGAAGTTCACTGCTAGAATTTTTATTCTAAAATTATGGTAAAATAACTAGCAGCAGTCTGTCTATTCAATTAATCATAACGCATTCAGTAAAGAACATTTTTTACCTTTAGGGTTTGAAGTACTTAACAACTAGTATGGTAATAAGAACATGAGTACGGTTTTGACTATGCGGTTTTTTAACCATTTACAACTAGCATGGTTTCAAAACCGTAGAAAAAAAAAGAAATTTAACTGGGCATAGGAGCTAAGCGTTTTATTAGGTAATGGCTATTATAGAGTGCAGGACACTGGAAACTCTTCATATTTTAAAGGGAATGGAATAAATTTTGAGGTGTCAACGCTGGAACTCGAACCCTCAATCCGTTGATCACGAGACTGTACAGATTAGCCCTCTGGGCAATAATAGGTAAGCAATTGCACGGAACTAAGTGGCTTCATTATGCGAGCTTAAATGGTACGATAGAAGACCGGTTATTTAACCGTATAAAGTGTAAGCAGTAAATAAACAATTTTTCTCACAATTAACTGTTTGATAACCGTTTTATTTATGGTTATTTGACTGTTATGTTTGAATATGGTAAAATAAAAATTTAATAAATTGCTATTTAGCCATTTTTCCAAAAAAAATTTTACAGTGTTTTAAGGGACCAAACATAAGAAGATTATATTATGAAATTATTATCGCGTTATAAGGTATCAAGATAAAATAAACGGAATATAAATTGCAGCATTTTTGTGCATTTAAGGAAAGAAGTACACATAAATGATGTCATAGATAAATTTACTGTTATTTTCTTTTATATTTGGTGTTATTTTGCAACATTTTTGTAGCGGAAACTTATCACTTATTACAGAAAGGTGACCAACATCGTTATAATCGGAAAGAGCTGTGATAGTCAAAAAGCGAGATAATCATCACCGTGACAATCAGAAAGCGAGATGATCATCACCGAGACAATCAGAAAGCGAGATAATCATAACCGTGATAATCAGATTCTTACAAAACATTGGTTGTTAACACATATTGCCCATGCAATGTTGCTGTGGTAGAATAATTAAGAGAAAAATTGCTTTAACGTTAATTTTACACACGTTTAAACGTGTTTCAACATTTAAGACATATTCTGTAGATATTAAATCTTCAAAAGAAATTTGATAAATTAAACTTACTAAACAATAAGCACACATTACTGTACGTAATAATGGCGGTTTGCCTTTCTTCATTTTGAAATCACCAGCTTTAAACTCCAATGCAGCATAAATACACATTATGTGAAATATCTAAAAACATAAACGAAACATTATTAAAATTTATTAATGAAAAAAAGTTCTGAAATGATTTTATTTTTTTATTTAAAATTAGCTCATTGTCTAATTACCCCTGCCGTTAGAGATATTATAAATAAATTGAAGTGAAATAGTGATTGTCAATTGAATGGAGTTAAGGATTATCCACTGAATCTGGCTGATTTAATCAATGTTTATCAGTTGAATTGAGTTAGTTTTGAATAATATTTGTCAATAAAATTGAATTTATTTAAATCAACGAATCATTGTCAATTCAATTGATTTGTATCTAAGATTAAGAAAAATAGTCTTGACACCTACTCAAGTCTATAATTCTAATTCTATTTAAATAAATGAATAAAGATGAAAAACTTTTTTTACATTGAATATCTTTGGATTTTTACATTGGATTATCTGTTTATATTGAATATCTTGGATTATCTTTTTACATTGTATTATCTGATTGCATTGAATATCTTTTTACAATTAAATTCAAACATTTTTAGATTCTCATAAATAGTTCTGGAGATATAACGAAATACGTATAAATTGTATTTAACATTAACGAGGACAAGTCTTCAACCGATTCCTGCCAAAGCTATTGAGACTATGGTTGTGTCTACTTCACCTTTTTCGAAGTTCAAAAATACAAATCCATTGAGAAAAGAACTGTAGTTTTCTCCTAATTTGCCAGAAAAAATGCGTGGTGCAGAGAATGTACGTACTGACAAACCTTTCGAAAATGCGTTATCAAAAAAGTCAAAGATTGTTTCTTCATCGCTGATTTTAAAAACAAAATTGAAAGAGAAAAAAAGTGTTGAAATATGCAGAGACGAGGAAGGAGGACAGGACCCTCAACCCTCTGGATCGAATAGCTATTGCTGACTTTGCTGGTGGAGAGCTGGATGTAGTGAGTTCGATCCTGGCATCCGACTGAACAATCAGCTTATATGTACGCAGTAAGGTGCAAGTTAAATCTGTCGTGGCCGGAAGCCTTCTCTTTAGTTGTGATATTGAAGGTAGAAGAGTATCAGCTCAGGCAGTGTCCAATCTGGGTCGAAATTACACGGCATTTTAACCATGACCGTTGAAGAACGGGGAACGGTTGACTGAAAAATGGGGAACGGTTGCCTGAAAAACGGGCTAGGTGATTGGTTATTGTTGGTTTATGTGATGCTAATAGCTGTATGTCTCTCTAGTGAAGATGATCACCCAGTCTTGATTACTTTATAAAATGTCGAATCGCTACTATGCTCTCCTTTGGTGGTAAACATTTCACGCGTGAAGTCACAGGCCTTAAACATTTCGCGCGTCCGTATGTGATATCATCAAACCATTTCTATGTCAAGTATATTGGAGAAATGAGTTGTGGTTGAGTAATGATTCGCCAAATTAAACTTGAACCATAGAATGCGGTTTCATTTAATCTAATCTAGTAGTGCCAGTGCCATGAAGTGCGTGAAATGGAAAATACTATAGTTTGCTTTCCACTAAGTAGGTACATTTGAAGTGTGTTGTATGTTGCTATTCAGGTTCCTCAACGATAGTGTTACGGTCGAACAAAACTCCGAAACCCTCTGATAGTCCCGCAGTGGACTGATCGTTAAGGCACGGTTCCCAGAAGATCACCGAAGTCAAGCATCACTGGCTGCGGTCAGTGTGCGGGTGGGTGACCACTTCGATCAGTCTGCGTAGGGACCTAGGGTGTGCGGTATTGGTCCTCGTTAAACTGTTCTATCGTAAAGTGCTCGACTTCGCGTGCAGGTCGTCGGGCTACCGATGCAGGAGTGCCATCCCCTCTGCAGAGGATCAAAATTGAGATGGCATGTCTTCGGATCATCCTCAGGGATTTTTCCCAGACCGTCGCCAATAGCCCATTGTGCAGCTCTAGTGTGACGTAAATGAACTACTACTGGTAGTACTACTAGTCTGATACGCATAGCTGTGCCTTATGTCTCTCGACTAAAGGTAACAACCCGTCCTCGATAGTCTACGTTGCTTTACAAAGTCTTAAAGACATATTATAATTTATTGATTGAAATTGATTACCTGCTTCTCAGTTACTGCAGACCAACGCCTTTGAATGAGAGTGCTTATAGTCGGCAGCTTCCTTATCGTTTTGTATCGAAATGGACAATTGCGCACCGCCATAAATACGAAGGCTTCGGATAAAATATAATGATACATGTCCATTTCATCAAATTCTTCAGTGAATGTTTCCTCTTCGTCCCGAATTCTAGGAGGAGCGATGGTATCACCATTTGGTACTTGGTTTTGTCGCTCCTCAAATATATGTCTCAGTTTCTTTATCATTTCCTCATCAAACAATCGGCTCTTCAGGAATTCTAATCGTTGATTAATCAATGGCATGGTTGATAATGATAATTTTTCCCAAAAGTCTTGATCTGAAAAAGAAAATAGTAGTTAATACAGTTATAGTTTAGTCTAATTAACCTGAAACAAACTTTACTCAGGATTCCAGCTTTAATCAGGGTTCTGCGATTAACTAACTTAAGTAACTTTTTATCGTAAAATTCATTTTTATTGGAATATGCTACGGAACAAAAACTCTGATATACCATAATTTTTACAGTAATAATTATCACAAAATCAGTGAACCACTTTAATTAAATAAATATTGCCATAAAAAAATACGGTAGAAATGGATTTTACGGTAAAACGGATTTTATGGATGATATGCACCGGAAGTGCTGGTACTTTATACCGTAATTTAGTCTAGAAATTTTTACAGTGATGATAGGGGCTCCACAATCGATCTCTATTTACTAAGTCAAAGCGCTGAAATGTTAATAAAATGATAATTTTTAAAAACTATGAAACATCTAATGTCAATTGTTTCAACCTATGAATGCGAAAATTTTTCTCTTTGTAAGCTGCAGCAGTAAGTAACAGAAAATATAAGCCGAAGAATGTAATAAAGATGTAATATAGAAACAGATTAGGTGCTGAAAATGACTTTTGAGTGCAGATTTCATCAATAATTCTGTACCGTCAGATGGGGTGACTTTGAGCAACGAAGGGCGACTTTGTGCAGTGCCATCTAGGGGTATTTTTTTAAGCTCGGTATCAATTGATTTGAGTTGTAAACATAACGAACTAATGGTTTACCAAGAACTGGCAATGTAAACATCATCGTTCTTGAAAAATTGTGTGCTCAAGTTACAATCAGTTTCAAATTTTTTAACGTCGCAAAATCGGAGGCTGGAAAGTTTGCTCGGTTGAAGAAGTTCTAGTTCTCCTGGACAGGAAGGTAGGTTATACTTTAAAAGTCTTATCAATTGAGATAACAAATCATGCATAATTTTTGGTTTTTAATTATAATAATGTTAGTTATTTAGTAATTAACAGTTTGCACAAAGTCCCCCCTCGTTGAACAAAGTCACCCCATCTGACGGCATTATAAATAAATTTGTAATAAAAAACAATCAAAGTCGTTAAAATAATTTTTTATTAATTTGTTGCTTTTGTTTATTGCTTATAAAATATATTTTAGAAAACCGAAGAAAAACTTACCTTCAGCTACCTTACCCTTCATTATCTTATAATATGTTTGAATTGTGATAAAATAAAGATGTAATAATAATTTTATAAATCTGAGTCGGACAAACCTTTGATATCATATTTTTTCTGCTCTCTGATCAGGAGGTTCCTTCAAGAAAGCGGAAGTTTCAAACGGTTTCTTAAAATATATGGTTGGTTGGTGTAGTATCCTCTATTGAATCATATCTTATGGTGTGGTTGAAAAGTCTTTGCTATCTCTATGGTATTAAGTGAATATAAATCTTCTTCTGTAGGGTAGTTAAAGAGGTGAAGGCCTGCAGCGACTGCAGGGCAGTTAAAAACATGATATGGTGTGAGTTCTACGATAAGACAGCTGCCACAGTTTTTATATTTTCTAGTCCCATCTGCTGAGATTTTCATGTTTTTATGATGAGAGTGGTGGTTCTTAGTCTGATGAGAGTGGTGGCTGTCTTCCTGTCTATGTCAAGATTAGTTACTTGATCGTGGGCCTTGATTTTTAAGGGGTTGAATAGTCTTGACTTTGCAAAAGCATTTGCATCTGCCAGCGTAGTTGGGATCTTAAAATATATGATGTTATAGAATGACTCTGCCTTCCCCCAGGGATAAGGGTAATCGGGTAAAGTCAGATTCGTCGCTGCAAGTGTATAATGTTAAATACACTTAAACTAAAAAATTTCAAAAAATTTGGAATTGCGCACATATAAATCTTAGGCAAATTGAGATAACTATAGGGTGTTACGCAATCGCTGCCTTTAATCTATTTAATCTTGTAAAAAATGAATTAGAAAACTATGCAAACCGAGGGTAGTAAATGATTTTGTAGCATTTTAGGTTAAAAAAAAAATTTTTAAAAACGCAATTCTGGATGAAAACCAAAATGTATGATCTTTAAACCATTTATTTTTAATTTTTCAGATCATGTGGTAACGTTTCGATGGAAATTCTGGTTTTCAAAATTTTAGTTCTTATTTACCACACATTTAGTAAAAAATACAAAATTGAAAAGTAAATTTAACGGTATAATTGGTTTTTAGGGTATGCACTAAAGTATCGTGATAAATATACAAAATTTTTACCACATTTACTAAATTTTATCACAGATTATAAAAACATGTTTTATTGAAATACAAAATTGAAAAGTAAATTTAACGGTATAAATGGTTTTTTGGGTATGCACTTGATTATCGTGATAAATTTACAAAATTTTTACCACATTTACTAAATTTTATCACAAATTATAAAAACATATTTTATTGACTATTTTACCAAAATCATTGCTGATGCGTTTTGGGTCAAAATTACCACTCTTTTTGATGTTCTCACAGGGCTGCCAACTTTCTACACTTTTTGTTAAAATTTATTCTAGTGGTAGCTAAATTTATACTTTAATGTATTATTTTTTATTCATTTAAACTTATTTTCCACGCCACTACACATAAATGATTTAAAAATTCATATGCAATGCCACTTTGTTTCTGCTCTTTCGTGATGAAGCTTTTAAAATGTTGACAAAATTATCGAAAACTCTGAAAGCTTTCCTTTTTTAAATTGGTATTACCACTCTATAAAATATTTTACAAGAAGAGTAGTATTTGACCTGCCTGTTCTCATAGAGCCGGAAAAATGGTAAATTTTACCACATTCAGGTAGTTTTAAACATACTTTTATACTCAGTGTGGTATGCGGTCACTTTGGACTAGTAACTGCCTCAGAGCAGCGATGGTTCAGGGGATTGAGCGTTCGTCTTCCGATGAGGTGAACCAGGTTCGAATCCCGGCGATGGCTAGTAGATACAAATTCCGCATCCAGCTTGCACCGACCACAGTGCTGAAGGGAAATATCCTCAGTGGTAGACGGATCATGGGTCAGACTCCCCTTGGGAGGCTTTCGTGGTTTTCCTCTCCATGTAGCTCAGATGAGGGTTAGTTCCATCGAAAAGTCCTCCACAAAGGCAAATTTCTCACTTGAACCAGGAGTTCCCTTGTCTTCTGAATTGGGTTCAAAATTACAAGGCAACGGAGTTCAACATTAGTTGCCGTAAACCCAAAAATTGGGTCAGCTGCTCAACGGCGGTTATAAAATAAAATAAAAAGTAACCGCCTCTCAGCTTCATCCCCTAGAAACTTAATCCCTGTATTGCTAATATTGACCTCAATAGTGATTGCTTATAATTAGAAAATGTGTTTAGATATTATCATGAAGCCTCTAGTGTACATCATTTTCTAATACTTTAGGATTCTAAAAATCTAAAAAAAAAAAAAAAAAAATTCCCGATAAAAATTTTCGTCTCTGAAGGATTGCAGACACATTTTTGAATTTTTTAATGCATGGATTGCTTTGAATTTTTGTATTTTGAAGTATTTTATTTGAAAACAAAATGCTTTATGGGAAAAGTCATTATGAACCTCCCATAACGAATTAGTGTCGTACGTCACGTTTTCGGTCTCAACTAATTTCGCCTCATAAAAATTTAACACTCATATAAAAATTTTCACTTTAAGTGGGTGTGGGACACATTTTAATGCGTCTTTTTAATTCATGAATCCCTTTGAACTTTATGTTATTTAGCTTTTTTCTTAAATATGAAACTTTAATGTCCGAATAATCATCTAACTACGAGCCGCCAAAAACATATTACAGTCGTACGTCTCTTTTTACATGCAGCTAATCTTACAGAACTGTCTTTTAAAATTTAAAACCTCATATAAAGATTTTAATTTAGTGCTCCTTGGACACGCCTTTTAATGTTTTTAAAACATAAACCTCTTAGAAAATTGTCTATCTTTATATATATATTTCGTCTGTTCGTGTGTATGTCACTGAACTCCTCCTAAACGGCTGGACTGATTTAAATGAAATTTTCTGTGTACCTTCAGAAGGATTCGAGAATGGTTTAGATTCACAATAGAACATTCTGCCACAAACCGTTCCAGCGGTATCAGCGAAAATCGAAATGGAATTTTCTGATTGGTTAAAAGTTAGCCATTGTTTTAAATTTTGCTGTACACGAATCAGTTTTCAAATATCTTGAAGATAACAACAGTGATATTTTCTATCTTATAGCTCTATTCTTTTAGAAAAGTAAATTACATATACTTTAATATTTAATCATAATTCGGTTCTTTATTTCAGGTGAGCACAAGCACGTAAAATCAACGAGAATAAGTTTCGTAATTATTGGTCGTATCACGGATTTAGTATTGTGAAAACTGTTTAATAAAAATCAAGGCAAAAGCAAATTTTATTCATCTTGCACGCTTTTAATAATTATTTATATTTAGTATGCAATTTTAGCTCAATTTAGTATGCAATTTTTCATTGCTGACAGTTGTCATTTGAAAACTATTAGATTGTTTATTATTACAAAGTTTGCGAATTCACATTCATTTTAATTATTTCATTTAAAAAATAGGAGTAGACTATATTTGAGGGTGCCCCTTGATTCTCACCAAGTTGTGATAGCGGTTGATCTCCAAGCTGGCCGATGTTGAATCCCAATCGTGATTCTGATTCGTTTAAATTTCAGCGTTATTTTTAAATGTTCAACGGTATATGTAATTTCAGAAGTCCGTTAGTTCTATGTTGGATACCGGCTGGTTAGGTTACTTTTGCTTCTGATCAATAGGATCGAAGGTATGTGGGCAGTCATAAAAAAAGGACTTTAGAAAAAAATGTCACCGCCATTCCGATACCACAGACGCCATTTTCAATTCGTATTTCGCCGAATTTATGTGGCGATGGAGGAACACAGATTCTATTCATGATAAATTTAGACAGTATCTAACTGCTATTAGAGAATTCTGTGCACCTAAAACTGAGGAAATTCAAGCTTAATGAATAAGTGAGATGTTTTTTTTTCCTTTTCTTTCTGTGCTTACTCCATTAATTTTTATTTCGATTCAAAATGCATTTTATTGGGTTTATTAATTTTGCTTACATTGGGTTCATTGCAATTTTATAAAGTTTTGGCCGATGTCTTGCTGAAATTTTCCAATGTATTATTAAAATATCATTATGTTTTGGCAGCCATTCCTGTTACCGCGGTGTTCCGCGCAAACAGGAATGGTGATAAACATAAGTTACCAATTTCGTCAAGGGGCACCCACAAGTATATTTTTACCAAAAATAGATTTTTGTTTTAAATTTTATCATTATTATATTTCTTATTTAATTTATTTCATTTTTATTGCTTTTTTATTATTTAAAATAAATACGTGAATTTTCGAATTAGCAAATTTGCGACCACTGTCAACTTCTACATTTCTTTTTGTTTGAAAGAGAATATTTGCAAAAATATGCCGCCTAAACGAATCGCTCTTAGTCGATCAACATCTCAAGCACGCAAGAAGAGAACTAACCGTGTTTCAGAAAAATCGGAGCAACGGGAAGAAAGACTTGAAACTAATCGAGAACACAATGCTTTAGCCCGTTCCTTAGAAACGTCTGAGAAACAGGAAAGAAGACTGTTAACAAATCAACTACGCACTACTCAAGCCTGTTCCTTGGAAACATCAGAGCAACGGGAAAGAAGACTGTTAACAAATCAACTACGCACTTATCAAGCCCGTTCGTCGGAAACATCAGAGCAACGGGATGCAAGAATAAAAATCAATCAAGAACGCACTTCGCTATTCAGACGCTGCCAATACTCTGATTTGAATCTCAGTGCATTTCACTATGATCCGACAACCAACTATAGTCTTTCACCCAAGCGTCATCATCGGAAAAATGGATCAATTATGTATGTTTTGTAGTGCTCTCAAATTTAAGAATGAAACAGCTGGAATTTGCTGTTCTGGAGGCAAAGTGTAACTACCAGATTTAACGTCGCCAGCCGAGCCATTATCAACGTTGTTATCGGGTCAAGCAAATCAATAGAAACTTTTCTTGGCGAATATAGGTCAGTACATTCGTGTTTCCAAATGACTTCATTCGGTGCTGCTACAAGTATCGGTGCGCATATGGACAGCTAGAGTTATTTATTACATTCACATGCAATCCTGCTTGAGCTAAAATTAAAGAGCTTTAGTAACTTAGGCAAACATCATCGGATCTTCATGATGCATTATCACACGTGAGTTAAAACAAATATTAAGCTCTAAACTTGGTTTTATTGCGAAAAGTCATGTTTTTAGAGAGACACGGTGTTTGATGCATTCTATTGAACGGCAGAAAAAGAGAATTGCCACATGATTTGGCTTATTGAAAAACTCACACCAGGACAAATTGGTCAGCTCATATCAGCAGAAATATTCATGACGCCATTGATCCAGAATTATTTCAGATCATCATCCAAAATATGTTTCATGGTCGGTGTGCATCACCATACATGTCTGTTTGAAAATGCACTAACGATATCCTAGAGAATTAACTGTTGAGACTATCACTGGTTTTTTCACCATTAAATAAAATTCTCTATTCAAATCATAATCACAAATCTCATTTACACACTTAAATACAAAATTTAAATTCAAACTGAAAGCGTTGCAACGCACGCAGGGTACAGCTAGTTGCTTAGTATTTTATCTATTTAACTTAAAAACATATTGGTCTGAAGCAGTTTTTTATTGTTGTCGATGCATTCTTATTCTTATTATTAGCTATAAAATCCCATGACATAGTTAATTTACTGACAAAAAAAAAAAGATTCAGATTTATTTGGTTGTCATCAGAATAAGATTAATAAAAGTTATAAAGGTATTTTTTACCTGAATAATATTTCCTATAACTCTTAAGCATTTTCTATTTATCACATGTAATTATGTTAGTTCCTGATAATTTATGATTTTTTCATTAAATGCTATAATAATATAATGCAATTTATTACAATTATATTATTAAACAATTGAATTATTTTTTATACTAGAATGTTTTGAGCCGTTTTGAACTGAATTAAAAGATCCAGCATGTTCAAAACAATCAAACTGTTCTCTGGTTCCAGTTTGGGGCTGACACTTTAAAAGCAAATTAACATAATTATTTTTTAACAGAATAATGATTTTAAAAAAATTCAAAATTTTTTTTTTTTTTTTGTGTTTTAAAAGAATTATTTTTCTTTAAGCTTATCTTTACGCCTGCAAATAATATTTATTGTAAACTGTGTTCTATTTGCAGAAGAAAATATTTACGGATGATCCCTTAATAATTTACTTTACTCAAGGCGATCTAAATTGTAACAATAATAATTATAGATGTATGCAATCACAAAATGTTAATCCTTGACTGCCCCACGAAGGATTTAAAATTCTATTTAAAAAAAAAAAAAACATAAATCATTCATTACACCAAGGTACTGATTATGTAACTTTAACAGATTTTTTATTTTATATATGCCCTCATTTACTGTTTATATAATTCAGAGTGACCTGAATTATGACAATAATGACTATAGGATCATGGAATTAAAAAACGTTAATTATACATTTCTCAAGACAGAATCATGATCACGTAACTCAAACAGATTTTATATTTTATGGATGTCTTCTCAATTATATACTTTATTAAGAGTGACAGGAATTATAAACAATAATAATTACAGGATCATGCTATTAAAAAACGTTAATCATTCATTTCCTCAAGACGAAATTATGATCACGAAACTCAAACAGACTTTATATTTCATAGGTACCTCTTTAATTTTTTACTTTATTCAGAGTTACTTAAATAATTGCAATAATAATTATAGGGTCATGTAATTAAAAATATTAATCATTCATTATATCAAGACTTAATTATTAGGATGTAACTCAAACTTATACAATTCGTTTAATTGTCTTAATAGTTTCTCTTAATTGTTTACTTTATTCAGAGCGCCCTGGGTTATAAAAACAATAATTATAAGATCATGTAATTATAGAAGGTTAATTATTCGAATTATGATGACGTAAAAAGTCAGATTTTACAATTTTGATGCCCTTTCAATTGGTCACTTTATTCAGAACAGCCAGAATAATAACAATTATAATTATTAGGTTATGAAATCATAAAATGTTAATCTTTGACTACATCAAGACGGAATTATGATGATGTAACAGACTGTATATTTTATGAATGTTTATTTTATATATTTTATGAATTATTATTATTTTATATTTACTAATTATGAATGAATGTATGAATGAATGAATGATTAATAAATGAATTATTAATGAATGGATTATTATGAATGAATGGTGATTTCATGTTTACTTTATATCATATGATACATCATATGTTATATTATATATTATATTATATTATATATTATATTATAT